TCCAATCAGTATAATCAAACACAGCTGGACTCAAATGAAGGTGTAGAACCATCTCAGGGATGATCAGAAGAAATGGACAGCACCTAAGGTGCTTCTACTAAATACTGAGCAAAGGGTCTGAATACTTATGACCATGTGATATTTCAGTTTTTCTTTTTTAATAAATCTGCAAAAATGTCAAAAATTCTGTGGTTTTCTGTCAATATGGGGTGCTGTGTGTACATTGAGGAAAAAAATGAACTTAAATGATTTTAGCATATGGCTGCAATATAACAAAGAATGAAAAATTTAAGGGGGTCTGAATACTTTCCGTACCCACTGTAAAAATTTTAATGCATCAGTACGTGGCAATATTTTCCAGTTTCCATCCATCGTCTGAGTCACTGCAAACCATGCGCCTATTTAAATGCCAGTAATGCTGTCAGTTTGCAGCTGTGAGTAACCTTTATCTTGAAGGTTATTAAGCCACCGAGACAACGAAGCAAACACTATACTCAGTTTCTAAAAATGCTTGAACTCTGATCTTTAAAGCTGAACACATCGCGTGGTTCAAGTCTATTTATTCGGACACTTAAATGAAATGCATCTGTTTGACAGTCAAGGACTTTCATATAAGAAACAAGCTCTTAAATTCTGTAACATAACTGCATTTCAAGAGGTGTTAACTGGAGCAACCATTATCCCCACCTCAGTAGGGCTTTTACTGTGAAACAGCTGCCAATTTATTACATGAACAAGTGTTACATTGGTCCCCGTTGCCCAACTTGCTTGAGAAAACTTTCTAAATCTAAAGTGTGTAATACAAATAGCCATAAACGGTGGCTCTTACAGTATGCCCAGCACAACAGAACAGTGTTAAATGCATGGTTAAGGATGTGAATAGCCTTCTTACCGTTCTTTGTTCATCACCTTCTCTGACATGGAATGTGTGCTCGAAGATGGTGTACATGATCCTACCAATGCCAAAGGAGGGCTCGATTACGTTTGGAACAACCTCCTCCACTGTAGACAACAAAGCCAGACAGAGGTTGTGTTTTATGGAAGTTGTCACTCTCAGTTTCACTACATTGTCTTCACGTGCTTAATGGTTGACCCTCACCGTGCAGTGTCTTCTGGAAGCGCTTCACACTGACCATGTCCTTTGTGAGTTTGAAAGTCTTCCCTTCTGTCTCGATGGTGAATTCTCTGAAGTAAAATTCAAGATTTTGAAAATTATTTAACCCCAGTACTTCATCAGGTGCCCGCACTGTCCACTGACCACCTGCCGTTAACCACACTCACCCAGTCTCATTAAGCAGCTGCTCCTGCTCTGTAATGAAGCACTCGTCGCACACAGACAGATACTCCATGGCTACCTTGGCATCCTTCTTGTACGCCTTCCCAATGGCTCCTTTATTGGGCTCAAATTGGACGACATCTACAACTTTGTGCGGAGAAATTAAGGACAACAACAATGAGGCATCAGAGTACTTGAAATTTCTTGGTTGTTTGACAGATCAAACATTTCTTTTTCAATGTTAAGTGCAGTTTAAGGATATAGGTTCTTTAAGAGGCTTCTCTGCAACCAGCGGGACCTTTGTAGCTCGTGCATGACATTTCAGGTCAAAGCAGGACCGGTCAGCACACCCGACTATCTCAATCCAGCCCTGTAAATGACAAATATTATGTGAAGCAACAGTGTTCAGAGTCCCTCTGTGAAGATGCATGAAAACATGGCAATGAGACATACATAGGAGGTTTTGGCTTCAGCATCCCAGCAGTCACAGGCATAGTGAGCCATCTCATTGTCCATGTGCTGTCGGAAACGCAGCTTGTCTTTGGCAATACCAACTTTAGTAAGGTAGAGGTAGATCCTCCCAATAAAATATCCCAGGACAGAGTTGTTGATCACTCCCTAAATGAGAGAATAAATTTCAGAATACAATATTTTGAGCATGAAAGTTCATTCATGACCTAGTCAATGAGTTCAGATTATTCCTGTCAAAAAATTTCTTT